AAAAAAAAGTAACAGACACAAATATTCTTAGCATTTAATGTATGCATGTTTTAAGAAACACGTTGTCAACTCATTTTTTCATTTTGTTTTATAATAATAGTGGTCATTTTTAAAAATTTGGCTGCAAAATTAAAGTTCTAATATTCAAAGTCAAAATAATAGTTACATAAATATAGAGTTAGCCTTTATTTGTATGTTTGATGAATATATATCCACTTTTATTATTGTAAATTTGACTACAACCATTGATGTCATGAAAAAATATATGTTATACTCAGTTAAATTTAAAAAGCGGCCAGATTTTATTTTTAAAAGTGTTGGTGTGTTTTGATTATTGAAAAAAATGGAGAAATTAGAGTTCGGTTAGAAACCGTTCTCTTTTTAATCATGCACTTTTAAAAATACAATAATTTTTCTTTTTAAATCTATGTTATGGTTGTACTCTTTCATAAGCCATTTTGTGGGCTTTTGTTAATAGTAGCCGTTAACTGTTGTAAGTCATTTTGTGACATTATTATTATTAGTTATGTACTTTTTTAGTAGTTATTGTTTTCTGCATTAGATAACGGTTGTGAACTTCTATAAAACACTTTGTGGTCTTGTTATTAGTTGTGCACTTCTATAATCGATTTTGTGGTCTTATTATTATTAGTTGTGCACTTTTTTCAAATGCTTATAATGGTTATACTTTTTTGCAACCCACTTTGTGGCCTCATTATTATTAATTATGCATTTTTCAAAATGTGAAGTTGTCTAAATTCTATTTTATTGTGGCCATAACGTATTGCATTTGCACACTACTTTCTGAATTTTATTTAAATTTGTTAGTAGTGTATTGGTTTTCCTGCATTTAGATAACGGTTGTGAACTTCCTATTAAAACACTTTGGTGGTCTTGTCTTATTTAGTTGTGCACTTCCTATAATCGATTTGTGGTCTTATTTATTTATTAGTTGTGCACTTTTTTTTCAAATGCTTATAGGTTTATCTTTATTTGCACACCCATTTGTGGGCCTCAATAATTAATTAATTATTGCATTTTTTGTCATTAGTATGATTGTGATTAGTTTTGTTTGTAAATTCTATTTTTATTGTGGCCGAATAGTATTGCAATTTTGCACACTACTTTCTGATTTTGTAATTTAAATTTTGGATGAATTATCAAATTTTATATTAGTACTTTTAATTTTTGAATTTAAATTTGGAATTAAAACTTTATGTCAAGTTTAAACATTAGTTTAGGAGTTTCAATATTTAAGGTCTTCTTCCTCCTTTAATTTTTTCGCTGAAAATTTTGAAAATTTATGGGCTTTCAAATGATAAAGTTCAAAAGTTTGGCCTTTAAATTTTGACTTCAAGAATTTTTTTTTTGTTTTTTGATCACTATTATGTAAAATGTTATCATTCTAATAAAGTTATAGAGTTAGTAAAAGACAGGTTTCGAAGTGACGCCGAAATGAATGCAAGTAGGCAATAAAGACTACTTCCTTTAAAATAATAAGTTCAAAAGTTTGGCCTTTAATTTGACTTCAAAATTTTTTTTTGTTTTTGATCACATATTATGTAAAATGTTATCATTCTAATAAAGTATAATAGAGTTAGTAAAAGAAGGTTCGAAGTGACGCCAAATGATGCAAGTAGGCAATAAAGACACTTCTTAAAATTGCCTTTTGTGTCAGTTATTGTTTCCATAATTAATGAAAAAATGAATGGCATTTTAGGGAGAAAACTTTATTTAACTGACTTTCTTAATCAAAAAATTTTTTCTGTTTTTTCTAAATAAAGAGAATAGAGAGAGCCTATACAATGAATACTAGAATTGACTTGACATATTCATATAAATAGTAATGGTAACTACGGATTAGCAATAGGTGAATTTACCCGATTTGAATAACACTTTTAATTCAAATAATTTAACCAAAAATTTTTTAACTTAACTGAATCTAATCGAAATAATTTTTTAACCAAATCATTTTAGCTGAATTAATTTTGATTATTAACTGCACCGAAGTTAAAGGAAATGAAAATACAATTAACCAATCAAATTTAATTGAAATTTATGCTAAACCGACTTTAATCAAAATGAAAATTAACCGAAATTACTAATCACTATTAATCAAATTAAATAGAAAATGAAATATTTTTAATGTTTAATTTTATTATCTACTTAATCAGAACGATGTAATTTTGGAATCAAGTAATTTCATTAAAATTCGGTTTGATTAATTTTGAATCGAACCTTTAACTGAACACCGATATTTTTGATTTTCTTTAACTAAATATTTAATCAAATATTTATTCATCCAATCGAATCGGCCGATTTAATCGGAATAATCAAATTAACTAAATCAAATGCTTACCCCTAATGGTAAGTCATTCTGAATTAGTTAATGATTATTGGATCCGTGTAATCTAAAATGTTAATATTTAATCTGCAAAAAAAAAAAGAGTCAATTAGAAACTCAATAATTTTTTTTAATCAATCAGCTAGATGGATGGAAGTTGATTGATGATTTGACGATTAATGAAACTTTATCCAATATATTAGAAATTTGAAACTAAGACTTTGTTTGATAATGAGAAGAAGGAAAATAATAAGAAATTCTTAATTTTCTTTTTATAGTTATTTTCTAGCTTTATATTTGATTAAAATGAAGGAAAAAAATAAATTTATTTTTCTTTTTTAAAGACGACAACAAAAATGTTATTATTAAAAATTAATAATTATATATGTTTTCATTTATTTTTAAATAATACAATGTGACCACTTATTTTGGGGTGTGTAAGAATACATGAAATTTCTATTTTTTCTCCATAATTTTTTTCTCCAAATTAGGTAGATCCAAAATATATGAACCGGATTAAAAATAACTGAAATATTACTTCTTTTAAATATTTTCTTCTATTTTTCAAAGAAGAAAAAAAAAATGTTGTCTAGATATTTTTCAGGATTACTTCCTTTCTTGTACAGTTATATGTATTAATTGTGAGTTTTATTTATTTGTTTTACAAATTTTTAGAATAAGAAAAAAATAGCATCGGTTTTATAAAAAAAACTATAAATAGAAAATACAAACAAGTAGTAATATAGATAAAACGATAGGACTCAGTTTTTCTGATTTAGTTACAAATTTCATATTATAAATCATAAGGTTAATTTTTCTCATTGCTTGGAGTAATTTGCCATTTAAACAAGAAAATTAAAAAGATTGGGCAGTAATTAATTATAAATTTATAATAATAATTTTGTAATATAATAAGATGGAGGGTATCCGACCTAAACTTTCCAATCAATGACCGAAGCAAGGATAGGAAAGCTGTGACATTCTTTTATCAGCGCTTAAAAAAGCCTAATGGTCTGTTTGGTGGAGGTATATTCTAGTGTCGGTGTCTGATCTTGCCAGTTAACCATAATGAAAAAAAAAAAAAGAAAAAAACCCTAATTTTATTTTATTATTTTTTAAAGAATTTGTGGGAAAATGAATAGTAAATTTGTTGACAATTTGTGTTGATGCACATGGGTATGCTAAGGACAAGTGCCTCCCTTGTCTTGTTATTTTCTCATATTAGGGCATTTGGCCTTTTTCTTGGATATATTTGTCGTGTCCAGAGAATTTTTTTCATATTTTTCCTCTTTTTTATAACCCTAGTTGGGAATAAATAAATTATGCAATTCATTTATAAATCTAAATTTTTATATTTGGTATTAAAAGAAATAGAGAATTAAATTCTACAAATTCAATTCTATGAATTTGAATATAATAAAATCAAATTATGTAAAAAAATAAAAATTTCTCCACTGTAAATTTAAACAACCTAAAGCTTTATGGCATGTCTATTCATTGGTTGCACTTTTGTAAAATTATATGCTAAGGCTATTTTAAAAAATAAATGAGAATGAATTTTCAATTGTAAAATTTATTTTAAATATGAAGAATTCATTTATAAATGAATTCTATCAAGAATTCATTTGCACCAAATCGAGCTTTTTTTTTTTTTTTAAGTATTGGGGAAGGGAGGATTCGATCCCAGATCTTTTATCAGGCCGTATATGCATTTACTATTAAGTTCTGCTTTGGTGTATCCAAATGTAACGTTAATATTGTAGAAAGGAAGAATAAAATACTTAAAGTCTATAACCAAATCATAATATCTACTTATTGCTATGTTATGCTTAAAACATATATTGATTTTTATAAACTGTAATTTACTAAATTTTAAACATTGCAAATACGATTTTTCCGAAAACAAACCAACTGCAAAGTCAAAGTAAACAAGTACTAAGAAATTGAACTCAATGAATTTCTTTGAAAAGAAAAAAAAAGGTTATAGAGATAAATGTTGAAAAAATAATTTCCTAATTATATCCGTAAGCTATATATAAGATCAAATTTATAGAAACAAGATTAAGTTACATTAAATTACATTAAAAGAAAATCTAAAATATTAATGAATTTCAATTTATTTCCAAGGATAGAAATAAAGGAACCACAAACCATTGATTATCAATATGTTGTTTTATGTTGGGAAGGCCCAATGGGCTTTGGGCTATACTAACTAACAGGGGAATAGCCCACCCTTCTTTTAATAATCTCACTCTAGGTAATTTCCAAGTTATTGAAAACAAGCAAAATACCTTTCAAGTTCCCTTTAGTTTAGGTCTTTAAAGAATTTCCATCCATTGATTTTAAATTCTAGCTTCATTCTTACCCAGTTTTTCTAACAAATCAGACCAGACCAGTAGCTGATTTGCAGTTTAATCAGCCTGATTAGCTGGTTGGCTCTGATTAAAAAAAAAACTGCAAATTGTAGCAATTACTGTAGTTTTGTTATAGGAGATAATTTGGCACCCATAGACAGCCTAATATTCCAAATAACTAGAATTTGCTCTTTAGGCCTTCAAAATTCTGAAATCGAAACAGGAATGCAAAAGGACCATCCAGCAAAAATGAAATGGGTATTAACAAATAATACTCGAATAAATTATATGCCAGACTCAAATTTTTCCTAAAAGCATACTAAGTTATATAAAATAAAAATGACAAAAATCAAACTGGATATCTTTGTCTCTGTACATATTTTCTCTTTGCTAAAAGAAAGAACTGATGCAAAATCGAATGTTCGGTATCTATATTTGTCAAATGTAAAATGACATGTACAGAACCTTGAATGGAGTTGCAGTTGGGACATGTATTCCCAGCTCATAGTTGTGGAAGCCAAAATTTTCCAACTGCAATTCGATACTGTGGCCAGGATAAACAATTTAACTACAACAGCAAATTAGAACGTAAAAGATAATACTGACTAGAAATGCTCCAGTTAGATGCTGATAGTCTTGGAAAGTGGAAACTTAGCGCCATGAAGTCATCTGCTTAAAGCCAAGCTGGTGAGATTCCCATCCTCCATCTGGTTCCCTCTTTATGGGTGCAGCAGACAAAGCAAGTTGATGTAAAGCTCTGATTTGGTTTTCTGTTCCATTATTTACGGGAATAAACAATTGTTTTCTATTGTCTCCCCAGCTCGCACTTTCCGATGAAGATATCCCTCCACTTTGATCAAAACTAGGCCTTAGTAATGCAATGTCATTGGAGCTGGGTCCATCAGGACAATGCATGAGATATGAGGCCCCAGAGAAGGCAGAGGGTGCACTTGAACCTAAGATATGGGAAACAAATGCAGGAATGGGAGAACGAGGATAGACATTTGTGGATAAGCGGTTATTCGGGTCAATGAAGAATGCATTATTGCATATAAATGTTTGAGGTGGAAGATGTGGTGGAGGTGGATATGATGCATAAGTTGGCCTTTGCTGCAGGGAGACAGCATTTTGCATTTGCTCAATTGAAGGAAAGATGGAAGGGGCAGCAGCCATCAGGAAAGGTTTGGTCTGACCATAACTAAAGCTCTGGATAGGGCTTAAATCTGCCTGGTATGGTAATCCTACATTGTTAGATTCTAGCTGTCTTGCATTTCCCAAGAAAGTAACTACACGATCTCCAGATGCTCCATCTCTTAGTGCCAGCAGGTGAGAATCACTGCAGGTGTCTAAAGATGTTGGGCTGTTGTTCAAATCAAAATCCTTGGAATAGTTTCTTGATAGTGTTGCTGGTGGAAATGGTTGACGAGAATTTTCATCAATTTCACTACTATAATTGAGGTCAATATTGAACTTTCCTACTCGAAGTGAACCAATCTCCACAGAGGACCCTGGTTGGGAACATTTCTCCGAAAGCAATTCAATGTCACCGTCACCTCCTTCAGCAACAATGTTGAGGTCAATCCCAGTGACCTGAGAAGATTTAGAGTGATTGTGACTGTCCTGGGGAGATGATGCCTTAACCCTATTTATGCTGTCAGAAAATGGAGTTGGCCGGAAAGCACTAGTTGCGGCAGGTCCCCTCCAGCCACCTGCACTCCCATCAAGTTGTATATGGAGTTTAGGTAAGCATATAGGCATTCCAGATTTAGCAATCACAGGTGTTGGCTTTGACACAAATTCTGCACGAAAAGGTTCTTCTTTGATTGATTGTTTGTTGTAGTCCATTTCATTTGCAAAGATATTTTCATTAAGATCAATTCCAGAAAAATAATTAGCCTGTTGCTGGTTAATAACTCTCATATCTTCTGATTTTGTTGTAAGGGGAGACGAAGCCTGCCCATGAGTACCATCATTAGCTTTGTGCTTCTTCGTGTTATCCCGGTATTCTGATGGCTCTTTTACCTCTAAGCACAACTTTTTGACCTCACCTTTTGTCGAAGCAACACTATGATACCTATCTCTTTTATTGCCATACTGGATTTTGCTTCCGGATTCTGTTAAGCATTTAGAAACTATGGAATCAACAGAGCTCAAATGAACAGTCTCACCACTTTTTTCTTGTATAGAAGAACAACAACTTCCTGAGGCTTCCTTGTATATCCCAGCCTCGTGTTCTGCATCTCCTGCATCTTTCTGGACCACTGCTATAGAACCATTTAGCTCACAGCAATGCTTCGGTTTAGCAAACTCTGTATCTTCCTCCTCAGGTGAAATGGATTTTTGAAGATTGCTTTTCTCCAACACCACAGGATTTTCATCTCCAATTATCTCTACAAGCTTATCACAGACTCTTGTTTCAACATTTCCAACAATTTCTGAAAAGTCACATGTCTGGTCTTGCTTTCCAGGTGAAAAGGCAGTAACATTCAGGCCATCCTTGCAACTAATTTGCAGAGTCATACCCAATAGTGAACTTTTGACTGCAGGTTTCTCCATGCAGCAATTTAAGCCAGTACATGTGCAAACATCAATACTGCTGTGCTTACTACGCTCACATGACTTGGCATCCACTGAAATTTCTTGACAGCTGTCATTTGAAGAAGCTGGAAGGTTGGTGCGTATTGAGTTGGAAGAGGAGGACTCAGTTTTTAGTTGCTTACTGGAACAAGCTGCCGCCATCACTGTCTTCAATCCATCTTCCTCAGAAGCTAGCCAACACCGATTCATTCTTCCACCTGCTGGTTCATTTGTTTCTTTTCCAAGAGCTTGTCGGCCCTCTGAGCTAACATCACTCTTCATGGAAATGTTGTGCGTCGAATCAATACCTGTAGGGGAAGATGCAGATCCATCATCTGGATTTTCACTCCCTAGTACTACCTTGCATGTTCCTTGAGCAAAATTCTTTTTCTTGGGTTCTGAACTTCTTGATGGAGAAACAACAGAGGATAATACAGTCAACTCATCAGCATTTTCTTTGGTGCAATGAGTGGAAGACATACGATCATGTTTTAAACAGTTATTTTCAATTTCTGTTGATTGTGCAGATTCACAACTGCTGATTTCAGGGTCAGAAATAGAACCATGCTTCTGTTTATCCAATCCAGTATCTCCATCAGCAAGCACTCGATAAGAATCAGATAAGCTTTCCACCTTGGTTAAATGATCTAGCTGCTCAGAAGAATAAAAGTGTCTAAAACCATTGACTTTTCCATTTGCTTTTGAATTGTGCGGGTCCATCTTTATCCGAATTTAACTTAATGGCAAATAACTATAGCTAAGAGTGCCTTTTGGTCAATTACTGGGAACTCCTACCAACAGTCTATCCACCGATGTTAAAATGTCTTGAGCAATGAAACTGCACATCATCAGGCAAAAACTAACTAGCATTACTCGAATAATATGCATAATCACCTATGTATCATTTTGCATCATAGACCACCTTCACAGCACAAGGCCACCAGGTCCATCAGTCACAACATAAATATGAAATGGGAACTTTAGAGCCCGAATTTCTCAAGTTTCAATAAATCAAACAGCCATTCAATGAAGAGCATGTTGCCTGCAACAATGAATATCTGCCATAAGTAAGTTTTCTCATTGAAAAGTGCGGTTACTAAGATAGAAAAGGAATCAAGATGCCAATCCTAAGTGCCAAAAAACCTAAAATTTGATATTAGAAGGTCACACATGGCAAAAAAACATAAGTGCAAAAAATTAAAGTTACAAATCAAAATAACGACTAAGTTCTTAGTTCCATAGCTCATAGCCTCATCATCCTAGCATTTGAGGATCACAAAATAGGAACTTTGCCCATTCTGATGCATTCATCTATAAAACAGTAAAAATTCAACCATGCTATGCAGGTCAATACTACTCCAAACCAACCAAAACCTATTTTGTGAAATAAGATTAGTGCCATAGACTTATAGCTCAAAATTATTCATAAACACAGAAAAAGTATTATGAAATCAACATAATTATGTAAAGAGGAATGCATGCACTTGGTCCCATTGTGATAGTAGACATTTCTGTCAATATTTCGGACATTCCTTATGGATATTCTAATGTTCTCATTAATTTTAGCTGAATGATTGTCAATATAGCTCTGGTATCAACAATTAAAATCAGAGCGAAAGAACAATGGATAATAAAATATCTTCCAAAATATCTTTCATGTACTCGGAAAAAAGAAAAGAGACAACTTTGGGCAGTAAAGCTGATTTATTGAGTCCATATTTAGTGCAGTTCCCTTTATTGATGGCTAATAAACACTATTTTTGCATTCTTCTTTGCCCTTTTTCAATCGGAGTGTTACAGCAATTTTTCAAGAATATGGTCCATATGATCACATCAAAACATATATGACCAAGAACATCTTAAAACAGACTAACTAATCACCTATAATTGCATGTTTCTTAAATTAGTTATTACCAATTTCTATTTGGAAATGATCCATAATCAAAGTCTAAAACAGATTATTTGAATTTACAAGTAGCATTCATTGTAGTGCCTTATGATCATCTCTTTACTTCAATTAACTAACAAAACAAGCAAAATTATGAGTCTTTAAGCATGAATCAAATCTTTGGAAACCTTACTATTATCATCCCTTCTTTGGCTTTGGTAATCGAATTAAATCAGCCTTTGATAATAATTGCAGCAACTTGTGCATTACAGAGTACAAAGTAATTACAATAGATCAAGGTCAGAGATTCTAATTACTTAAATGACAGAAGTAACTTATGTATCTTAGTCCTCTGATATATTCACATGGTAGACAAGAAAAAAAAACATCCAATATACAATTGCATATACATAAACCAACAAATTCTCACATAGGTACAAGTTATTCATCTCTCTAATATATTGCAGGCTAAACATGAAACAGGCATCCAAAAAGGAAAATAACTTAAAGCACTAACTAAACCCAACTCAAGAAGGAAGGATTACAAATAGGAATATTTCCAAATAACAGGGACCTAATCTGTTAATTCAGAAATAGCTTACAATCACAGCATAGAGCAAAACTATGGTAAGAACTCAATCCCTTCCTTTAGTGAGAGGCTGCCATATTCTTTTGATGGGAAAGAGTTTTAGGTTCACAAACTTGTATAACGATGAAAACATCACTGACCAATCTTTTTAGCCAATCCACAATTTTCCAATAAAAATAAAATTAAAAACCAAGAACAAACAAAAACCAATAGTAATAACAGCCTTGTAATTTTAAAAACCAACAAATTGTAATTTTTCTAAAGATTTCATTTTCAACCAGGATATTGAATTAATGACAGTTCAATTTTTTGTATTCATCGACCCGGAAAACCACACAGCTGGATTAATGCTGTCTATTACACTTAAACCTAAATTGAAAACTTCATCACAGTCTTAAATAAAATCCATCTTGAACCTGATGAGAAAACCATTTTTGACCTAATGTGGACAAAAACTTGAATCAACTTAATAAAATATATGCATCCCACTCTTCTGATATTTGCAAACTGCTAGAAAATCAGGAAGACAATACTAATTTGATGTAAATTCTTTGTCCTCCACTTTCTTAAGAAACAAATAAAGCACAATGTTGTTCCAAAAAAAAAAAGAAAAACACAAAGCACAATGAAGATTCAAACCAAAAATAGAAGCTTATGCATAATGACATTAACGTAAAGAAGAGACCACTAGACGTTAGAATAAGAAATTTCCATTTTATTTCATTTCCTTGCCCTTTCACAGATTTTCTCAGCAACCAAACAGACAAAAAAAACATTTAAGAAAAAAACAAAAAAAGAAGCCAAATTTGGAAATTTTACGGCAAACCAACAAAAACCCAAAAACAAGAAGTACAAAAATAACAGTTAAAATATCAGAATCATGGAAGTGTCACTGACGGATAGTGGGTACCTGTTTCTTGGACAAAAGAATCCAATCGGTGTAGCGAATATTAAGCTTTTAACTTGCAGACTAAAGTAAAACCCAGTAAGGGTTTCATTCCATTCCACCAGCAACAGCCAGCTAGAAACAATGAGGAAGAGAAGGAAAGATAGAAAGCTATTCTCCTTCTCTGCAAAAGCTGAAACTTGAAAAGGTCTCTCCTTCAATGTATAGAAATGAAAAAGCGTTGGTTTTCCTCACGGACGTCCAAAAAGTCCAAACAATCCAAAACCGCTCCCACTTTTCTCTCTTCTATTCTACAAAGAGAGTGTAGAATGCTAACAAAAATCTGATTTTTATTTTATTTTATTTATAAAACAACAGAGAGAGAGAGAGAGAGAGAGAGAGAGAGAGAGAGAGGAGACACAGCACAGGGAAATGTGTGCGTCAGGAGTGACAGAGACAAGGAAGAGGCAGAGAGGGGAAAAGTGGAACCCACCAAAGTGGTGACTGACAGCAGCCTCTTTCTCTGAGGACGGAGAGTGGGACCCAGTTAGCGATCAGTAAGTAGTACTGATAATGCGACTCCCTATGTCAGGAATGGTGTGGGTCCTACAAAAAAATAAAAATTGGCACATACACAAAATTGGGTTCGTGGGAATCACCAAAAGAACATTTGAAGAAATTAATTAGTAAATTATTAAAAGCTTTTTGGTAAATGGGTAGGGTGGGGTATACCCTACATGCCTTGCCTTGTCCCCTCCCCTGTCTCTTTTCGGGCCCCACCGTTGTCAATTGGCTACTTATATAGTATATGTTTTTTTTCCTAAATATTTTCTTCTTCATTGGAAAATATTTGGTGTGTAAATAAACTTAATTGGTTTCTTAATCTTTCTGAAAGTAGAAAAAAAAATTTATTTTTGTGTGTCCAAAGGAGTACTTATTAGCAAGAGATGATAATAAAGGTTAAAAAAAATAATGCATCCTTAATTTTTTAAAACAACATTTATTTTTTAAATATTAAACATAATAAAACAAAATTTAAAATTATTCTAACATTTTAATGCAACCGACAGAATAGTTATAATTGATTGAATTGCTTTTTAAAAAATTATTTTTTCTAAATAATTAATACTTATTTAGTCTATAACATATGTAAAAAGGGTATTTGAGAATAGTTAGATGGATAAAATGTACTTAATAATTTATCATTATGAAATTAAAGATAAATATATTTTAACATTTTTTCAAAAAAGAAAAAATAAAGTTAGGAATATTTAAACTCAATTATGATTTTCGATACTTAAAAAATAAACATTTTAATTCAATTAAAAATATTTAAATTCAATCAAGAATTTTAATATTCTTTTTTTTTTAAAAAAAAAACTCAATTAGGAAAAGGACAAATATATCGCAATAGTTTTATCAAACAAAAAGAAATATATTAATTTAATTAGGAATATTTCAACTCAATTGCGATTCTAAAGTTTAAAAAAAAAAAAAGACAAATATTTTATCTCAATTAGAAATTCTAATATTTTGGTAAAACATAAAAAAGGAAAAATTTATAACTCAAACGAAGTATATATTTTGATACTAAAAGACTAATGTTTGAAAACTCAATTAACAATCCTAATATTTTTATAAAATAAAAGAAAAATGTTTTTTATGATGACGATTTAACTCAATTAGGAACATTTGAATTCAACCAAGTATCATAATATTTTTATATAAAAAAAAGAAATAATATTAATTCAATTAGAAATACTTGAACTCAATTAACACAAGTAAGACATTGTTCGGTGAAATTACTTATTTTAATAATTATTAGTTATCATAATATCTTGTCGGCTATTTTATTAATGTTTCGTTACAATGTGAGAGCAACATTTTATAATCCAATCGCTCAATCTCTAAACATTAGCTAGTGTTATGCTGTCGAATAAGATAAATGCACATTGTAACATTTTATAATTCAATCGCTCAATCTCTAAACACTAGCTAGTGTTATGCTGTTGAATAAGATAAATGGTAGATGTAGTGTTTTGACTTTAATTAAAATATTAAATGTTAATTGAAAAATTATTGCCGTTAAAAAAATTTAATATGAAAAAATAAAAAATTACATATAAAAGTAAAAGCAACATACAAAATACATATTTAAAAGAAAACTAATTGCTTAAAATCACAAATAAAAGATTTTTTTTTTTTTTTTTTTTTTTTTTTTTTTTTTTAAGTCACACTTAAAAAGTAACGAACGGAGTGTAAAAGTGATTAATCACTTTCACTTGATTATAAGACAATTAATATGATTTAATAAAAGTCCAAATTAGTCACTTTATAGTCAACTTTTTCTTTTATTGGTGCTAAATCTATAAAAATACCTTCAATTATATGATTTATTGTAAAATCACTTCAAATTAACCTTTGTACCTCGACCACCTTCATTTTGAAATATAGATATATTAGCACCCTAATTTTAAATGAAGCCAAAATTTGGACTAAAATGATATTATCCTGAGACCTACACCTTAATCTTGGTCAAGATACTCCAAGGGAAGCACCCGTTAACCCAACCTCAGTAATAATTCTTCATCAACTATGATTTTCCATTTTTTTTTTTTTTTAGCGTAAACCATCAGTATCCGGATTCTATTACCAGGGCCTGTCTAAGCCGACTTAGAGTTTAGTCACAATTAAGACTTTTTGTCCCTCCCTACAGATGCGTTCAGTTCAAATCGAATCTGATATATTTTCCCACATACTCAGCTTGCGATACCAATTGAGTCACAGCTGGTAGGCAATTTTCTTTCTTTTTCATTATTTACCATTGCTCTGTGCAAGCAATTCTTTAATATTCCATTTCATAGAGCCTGTAGGAAGAGTCGAATTAGTTAATTATTACTTATTAGCTATTTCAAATAAAAAAAATATGAATGCATAAAATCTTTCAGTAGTTTTACCATGAACGTATCACCAATATTAATAACAAAAGCTTATGGATCGGGTCAAACAATATTCCATTTATCATTAACGAACACTTGCAGGCCACCAACTTCATCTTGATGAAGAATCGCTAATGAGGTTGAGTTAATGAGATCAGATGGGCAATTCTAATGTTATGTGAGAAATCCTTTGGGTTTACTTAACCAATGTTAAGCTGTGGATCCCAGGTTAATATCATTTTAGTCCAAATTCTGACTTAATTTTAGGGTTCTAACATATCTATATTTCAAAATGGGGGCTCGAGATACAAATGTCAATTTAGAGTGATTTTGCAACAAATCATATAGTTCAGGGTATTTTTGTAGGTTTAACGTTTTCTTGGTAATGATTATTTCACTTTGAAATAAATGTTTTTGAACAGTACTTATTATAATTATGATTATTGATACTTATTGAAATGACATAGCATTTATGAGAAAATATTGTGAATCAGTTCCATAATAATGCAACAGTGAATTATGTATTTATTTACAGAAAATAATTTCTTATTTTTTGTTTTTTTGTTTTTTTAGAAAATAAAAACTAGAAAACAGAAAATGGAGATTGCGTTCGCTTGGTAACAATAAAAAATTATATTTTAATTTAACTTCAAAAACATTATTCATAATTTTCATAATTAAAAGATAAAATAAATTTAGAAAATTTTTATGTAAATTTTTTTGAATTTTTATTATTAATTATTTGTAATAATAACATCATTTTTTATCATTTTGTAATTTTTTTTAAAAAATAAAGGATGTGATATAATTGTAATAATAAAATTAATTATTTTTTAAAGCATAATATAAATTTTTATGTTATTTTTTATTTTTTCAATTAAAAATAATAAAAATATTTTATAGAAAAATTATTTATTGATATTATAATTTTAATTATGAAAATATCATTTTTAAAAATTGAAAACAATTCGAAAACATGTTTTTTTGTTATAAAGGAAAACTTTGAAAAATAACTTAAATAGAAAACTGTAAATTTATTTTCTAGTTTTACAAATAGAAAACTGACTGATTTGAATACAAAACTCTGTTTTTTAGTTTTCTTGAAAAATTTTTCTAAAAAACTACTACATTTTTCTATAAATGAACACAATCTAAAGCTCTCAAACAAAAAAAAAAAAAAAAAAAAAAGGGCCCATAAAATAAGTTTTGAAATGTAGGTACTACACAAAAAAAAAAAAAAAAAAAAAAAAAGGGCATAAAATAAAGTTTGAAATGTAGTACTACACACGTTGTAGGACCAGTTTATTAGGTTTTTATTATATTTAACATTAACATGAAAAAATATGTATTTTAGTATTTTGTGTTTTATTTTCATGTTTCTTATATATTGTTTTGGTTTGATTTCTATAATTTAGGTGTTAAATGAATCAACCGAGCAAGAGTTTGGTTGAAAATTATAGTTTGCTAATTTCAATATTAACCTCTCTCCACTTCTTCATAAATATTTTGAGCTACAAAAAGCTTTTTTTTTTTTTTTAAGTGATTCCAGTTGTGTTAGAAAGTAGATACTTGGAGCTTTTAACGATATATCATATTGCCTAATTTGAGTGAGAATTCAAGTCCATGGAGTAATTTGAAGTTCTCTACTCTGATATTAAAATAGACATTTGCACAGGATGACAAACGTTTGTTCAATGAGATCCGAAAAAAAAAAGCACCAAGCGACAAATGGTTGTGCAAAATGGCACGAGCAAATAAACAACCATTTATCGAGCTTTTGAACAACAAAAAATTTGAGTAAACTTTAAATTTTCAACCAAACTTGTCCAAAATAATCTTGACACCTATATAAAAAGATAGAGAATGACCAAAATAAGAGGATAAGCCATTTTGCCTCCTTGGGGCCTAAAACTAAGAATTAAAACTCTGGTTTTTAGGATTCGAATAGAAGGCTTATTCAAAATTTGGAGATTTATAGATTTCTTCAATAAGATTGCAGTATAAAAAGAAGATCTTGAACCTTAACTGAGTTTATTCTCACTTTCATTACAAAAGGAATCAAGATTATCGACCGAAAATTCTAGAAGTAAATGCTGAAATTTTATAGGCAACTACGATTACCTATATAATTGCAAAAAAAATTTTTTGTTGGTAAAATCTTTGTCACTAGTTTTTTGACCAAATAATTATTTTATCGATAATTTAATGACAGAAAATCTATCGGTAACTCAATTATTTTTATTGGTAAATTTGAATTTCAATTGTTTGTAAACTTATTGTTAATTTTTTCGGTAATACTGAGTCGGTATTCTGAAAAAAATTTTCATTATTATTTATTTTTAATTATTCAAAATTAAATTATTTGGTTAATAATTTGTTGAAAAATAGTTGGTAATATTGCACAGAAATGTAGTTATTTTATTTTTTATTTTTAATTAATAAAATAATTGCATTTTAATAGTTATACTAAT